TTTATATACGGATAATATATCGGGTGTTCAAATTAAAGTGTTACAGCTAAATACCGCCTTTCATAAAAAAAAAAAAAAAACGTTTTAGACGAAAGTTTTATAGTTGTGTGGGGAAAAATTTTTGGCTAAAATCGTTTTTTATAGTTAACCATAATATGGCCAACTTTTTTTTCGCTCAGCAAAATTTTCAAGTAGCTGTTACTCAAAAAGTAAAAGTCCAATAAAAAAATATTTCCCTCAAAATTTTCTTATTTTTTTATGTACTTTAAGAATATGCAAAAAAATATGGGGTTCCAATTTAAAAAAAACAAAGTCCACCTCGATATGGCCATATTATAGTCAGCTATAAAAAAATGAATTTAGCCAAAATGTTTCCCCCAAAAAACTATAAAACTTTTTTTCCTAAAATGCATATTTTCGGCGGTATTTAACTGTAACACTTTAATTTGAACACCCGGTATATTAATACTGTCTACTGTCCCGATATTCTTCTTAAAAAATACAAATATTGTGTACAAGAGCCCATAAACATTTAGTTGTGGTTGTTTAGTAATACCGTCAAATGCTCTTATGTGACCTGTTGTTATTTACATTGCTCAAAATAAATAATATATATTTCATTCCTGAAAATGGAGCTGAACCTTCCCTCATAAATATTCAGATTTCAAACTAAAAAGGCTGATAAACTTTACTGTTCAATTCGATACAATTCTAGTTTTTTTCCCGAAAGGAATTCCAACGACCTATCAAAATGCTGCATGTGGTTAATGACAGGTTATGATATGACAGCCCGGCAGGCCTGTTGGCTTTTAAAGGATCAATTATATGTATAGTTTTATAGAATGCTCAAAGCGGTTCGTTTTGCGAGCGGCCATATTTAGAAAAATGTGTTTTAAAGCCAATTTTCAGCCTTTGAATATAATAAACAAAACAATTAAGGTAAGGTGGGGTAAGTGCTTAGAGGCATCATAACTTCTATTCGGCGGTTTATTGTGTCTCCATCTATGAGCAAGGGGTGCAACAACATGGTGTCATTTTCTAATGTAGAATGTTTGAGCTCAAATAATTCCTAGACAAGCAGTGGTATCCAAAGAAAGCACATGACAGTGTGGGCACTGAACACAATTTGGTTAATAATTTTTAATCTGCCGTCGTTCTCAAAAAGCAAATTGATTTAATCAATTAAATCGATATAGCAAGTTGAAAAAGTCTTTTCGTAGTTTTGCAAATATTTTTGTATTTTTTAGATATAACCTAAAAAATTTATTTACTAAACAAGTTGCCCCACAGAAATCTCATGTGTGTGCAAGTGTGTAGTAAATAGTATGGGCAAGTGTGTAGTATACTACAACAGCTTTTCTCTGGATCCATCAAAGACTAAAGTGGTGATCTGGAAGGAAAAATACCACTGTACTGATGGCTGTTAGCGCTGACGGAATTAAAGCTTTCCCATTGATCGTGTTTAAAGCAAAAAACATGTGGGATGACTGGATTGCTCCTTCTACAGACGAATGCCCAGGAACTTCATATGCCGCGACTGCCAATGGATGGATGGATTCCCAACTGTTCTTAAATTACTTCGAAAAATTTTTATTATAAGTATTTGTACCTGATCGGCCCGGCTTATATATGACGGTCACGTGTCTCATGTCGATGACAGACTAATAAAAGTTGCCCGCGATAATAGAGTAACAATCCTTAAGCTTTCGCCTCATTCATTTCACATTTTACAACCCCTCTAATACGGTTTGAACTAAATTTTTTAGCTTATAACATACAATAAAACTATATCATCTAAAATTAATGGTTAAACAATGTATTTTTTCTATTTTTGCATACTTAAATTTGATTTTTAGTTTAATTTAGCGATTGTAACTTTTACGTTTCATTATTATTTTTAAATAAAAAGTTTGTAACTCATAGATCGATTTTCCTTTTTTATAAATGTTTATAGTATATTAAACATCGTTCTTTTGAGACTTACACACATGCCCCTGACCTCTCTAAACGCATAAATAAGCAAAATATACAGTAAGTACACACTTGCCCCCACTTCAAGGGGTAAGTGTGTAATACATACCTTTGTGTTTAAAAAAAATAGCACAAAATGAAAAGTTTTAACATTTTAATGATATTGCTACCTACCGCATATTAGGAAGACAACAAGTAACGTACTGATGTCAAGAAATTTAATTATTTTCTTTGGTTGAATTTTTACGAGTACATATAAATAAACTTGCATAATTTTACTAAACTCTTACCCCACCTTACCTATATTTTTACGTCAAGGCATAAGCTTGTTTATTTTGAAAAACATGGAATGATCAATCTATATAACTATATATCATTGACCTGGTCAACTCACCAGGGTTGTCATATCATAACCTGTCATTACCCGGGGAGGAACCATTTTGTTTGGAATGCCTAGTTCTTTGTAATATCTACCCAATACATGTGGGTATAATAACCTTTCAGTACTTGTACGATCCATGGTTAGTTTTAATGTGCGTTAAGAATTGAATTGACTGATTCATGTTGATAAAAGATATATAATAAATGCAACCTGGGGGCAGATTCTCGACTTGTAGGTACCGTTTCCTATAGGAATTTGTGATACTTTGCTATATATAGGAAAATGTCATAAATTTCCGATGAATAGAAAAATGTCAAAAATTCCTATAGGAAAAAAATCCTACGAGTCGAGAATCGACCCCCTGGGGGGATTGAAGTAAATAATTAGAGAGTTGAAAAGGGGTGAAAAAAAGTATTATCACAATTTTCGACGAAAATTTACGTCAAAAAGTTGTAGATCAAGCAAAAACCTACAGCTTCTCTAGGTCTAAGTCAAAATTTTCGATAAAAATGCAAAATTTCATTCGATTTTTTTTTCGTTTTTTATTTTTCATTTCTCCAAAATTAATTTAATTTTGATAAAAATTTGGTGAAAATATACCGTCGTATGTCTTAAATAAGCACATATTTTTTTTTTTTTTAAATAATAAAATCCAAAAGATTTCAAGATATTATTTTTTTTCGGTTTAAAACTTTTTTTTTTTAAGAAATTCTTCAGGTACTTTTTTCGTTTTGACATGAATTTCACAGTGTAAGACCTCGAAGCACTTTTCAAACAACGTTTGGTGTGGGCTACTTGATAATCAGTAATAGGACCACAAGGGAAGGTTTTTGAGATTCATTGCATCCACCCCTAACTTTTTTTAAAAGTCGCCAAGAAATAAAATTGAAGAAATATTATTGCGTGGGTACTTTATGGGACCAAAAGTCGAACACTTTGGTACCAAAATTTTCTCTCTAAAAATTAATTTCAGATGAAATCCTTTTGGTAGGGTATTTAGGACCAAAATCTAAGAGTGTTGAGGGTGTTCACTACATCCCCCCCTTTTCCAAAAATATTCCAAGAGTAAACTTGATATTTTTGAATGTAATAAAATTCAGTTTATAGGATACTAAATTTTAAAATTTTTAAGGTATATGACTTAATCGCTCCCCCCCCCGCCCCCCAAAAATTAAAAAATATTAATTTTATTAAAAATTTTAAAATATATGAAAAAATGTTTTAAGTAATTTTGATAGATTTTTAAGATAAATACAAAAATTTTTATTTTGTTTCCCCCCCCTTATCCCCCTTTTATGCATTGCCTTATATTTTATATTAAAAAAAATAAAATAACATATAGGTAGATTATAATACTTTTGATCTCCCCAGGTTTTGTTCCACACTTTTTCTAATTAAAAAAAAAAAAAATTAAATATTGAAATTTTGAAAAAAAAAAAAGTGATGGCATGTTATTATGTGAATTATTTTAAGAAAAAAATGTTATATGGTGATACCTCCCAAACGCCCTCCAAGTATGAGAAAATTAGGATTTTTATATAAAAATTGGAAATTTATTATAAAAAAAGTTAAATCAGTCAGAGACCCCGCAGGGGTCGCTTTATAATTATCAGCGGCCCCGTAGGGGACGCTTTATAATTAACAGCGACCCCGAATTTTTTTTATTTATCAAAAACTACATGTCAAAACGAAAAAAATGAGTACTTGAAAAACATAATTTTCACAGAATTTCTTTTTAAAAAAGTATTTTGGACCGAAAAAAATTAATATCTCGAAATATTTTAGATTTTTTTTATCTAAAAAAATCGTGATTATTTAAAACATACGAAGGTACAATTTCATTAAATTTAATCAAAATTAAATTACCCAACAAACAAAAAAATGCCGAGATATTACTGGCCTTTTACTGTAATTGAGGAGAAAATAAATGCGACGATTAAAAGATAAAGGCCTACTTTTGGCCTTTCGATAGTGGCCCAGCATTATGTTGCTTGATGATGGCCTTATGAAGGGTAAGTAACTGTATTGGGTAAAAGCATGGTAAAAGTCAAAAGGCTTTTAACTGCCGCAGACCCAACTCCAACGGTCCAGGAGGGCTCCATCCTGCGTTCACAGATGGAGACATCGATGATCGCTTGTTACATACTCAACGAGTGGACATGTACTATGAGGCCAGTCTTGCATTGCTGGTATTCACTATTCAGTATTCATTGTAATTTTTTACTTTCCTATGTGTATACAGATAAGGAAAGTATAGGAATCATGATTTTTTTCGACCTCCAGTTTTCGACGGATTTTTACGTTTTGGGGTCCCCTGAATCCGTTTTGACTATTTTCGGGATGATGTCTGTGTGTGTGTGTGTCAGTGTGTGTGTGTCTGTATCCACCATAACTCATGAACCGATACAAAAAAAAAACACCAAATTTTAAACTTAAGCTTTATTCCAGCCTGCGGTGAACTGATTAGATTTTGGGCAGAGTCGGAACATTTGGGGGAGGGGGGTACTTTATTGGTGGTCATTTTTATATTTTATTAAATATATCCGTTATTTACGTTTGTAGAAGAAAAATTTTCAAATAAAAGTTACTTATAATATTATTATCTATAATTTTTGTTCTATACAAAATTTTCCTAAAATGGTCCGTATTCGAGAAATTTGACAAAATGTAAAAAAAATATTTTTTTATAAAAATTGTTCAAATGAAAGTTGTTTGTAATATAATTCTCTATAATTTTTATCCCATACATAAGGCGGAACATTTGGGGGGGGGTACTTTATGGGAGGCCATTTTTATATTTTATGGAATATATCTGTTATTGATGTTTGGAGAAGAAAATTGTTCAGATAAAAATTACTTACAATATTATCTATAATTTTGGTTCTATATCAATTTTTTGTTAAAATGGTCCGTATTCGAGAAATTTTACAAAATGTAATAAAATTCAAATTTTTAGGAAAATTGTTTAAATAAAAGTTATTTGTGATATCGATCTCTATAATTTTTGTTTTTTATGATTTTTCTAAAATGGACCGTATTGGAAAAATTGAAGGAAAAGTGCTAAATTTAAATTTTTCAGTATTTTCGTTTTCAATGAATATCTACAGAAAAATGTTTCGATTTAGATGTATGTGGAAAATGTATATATTTAGTTTATCCTCTAAACATTTATAGAGGTGCCGCAATAGGTTGTACAAACTAACCGGAAAAAGCCTATAATAACTAGATAGGAAAGTCACATCAGATTTTTCATGTTAATTTAGAATATTTTATGAATAATTTTTTGAAGAAGACATGTTTTCTGTATTATTATATTATATAGCAGAATTAAATAAAATGTCTACAATATTCTATACTAAAATGCCTTCTGTTTTTGTATAGAATTTATAGTTCAAATGGTACTACTCGTCAAAGAGGTACTATCGAATATCCTGCCTGGTCATGTGCCTGATACATGGCCTTTATTCAGCAGTCAGTATTAATATGGTAAAAGGCCAGAAATTTACCGTTAACTTCCCATCAATAGGCCATTAATTGCCAATATATTTATTTCTAGACATTAAAGGGAAAATGGAGGTCTATTAACTGGATTTAATGGCTAAGTGACTTCAGCCCGACTGGCGGCCGTAGTGATCTATATATGCCGGCCTTTTAATTATAAAAATTAAATGGCCATTATTACAACTGGAGGGTAACAGTTATTGGGCCTTTTATTGCCCTATACAAAATGTTTGCTGGGTATTTTTTGAGATATGAAAAATAAGAAACAAAAAAAATCGAACGAACTTTTGCATTTTTATCGAAAATTTTGAGGTTACGTTAAAAGTGCCCTCTACAAAGTTGTAAATTTTTGCTTGTTCTACAACTTTCGCACTATACATTTTTGTTTATGACGTCAACTTTCGCTGGAAATCACGATAATACCTTTTTTTATCCCCCCAGGTTGCATTAATTTTTTTTTACTTATTACATCCCCTCTACAATTTACAGTTATCAAAATCCAATTTTCCCTCTAAATGAATTAATTCGACTGGTCTAATAACTGAAAATATTCATATAAAAATTAAACACGCCAATAATACCAAGAAGAAAAAAAGTAATAGTAAACAGATATCCAATTTTTATATAGTAGAATTGAAGGACCGAGAGGATATAAATAGCATTTTTTAAGTACTTTTATTCACAAATCCCTTCAATCTGTATCCCTTCCATCTGTAACATTAATAATTTTAACAGTATATTAGTTCTAACAACGCAAAAATTTATTTATTAATACTAATCTTCTTTTAATAGTATTCGAAGACTTTAAATGGTAAAAATAAAAAAAACTTAGTACAAGACACCTTAAAAATAATGTATAAATATAATAATTTTAGTATAGGGTTCAGGACAAAAATTCTCACTCTCTCTCTTTTCTGTTTTCTTTCGAACAGGTTCGCAATCTTAGGAAAATTTGGTATTGGGTCATTCTAAAAATTTTATTTCTAGATATAGAGAACTTTTGGACCTTTGCCGTATATTTCAAGACCGTTTTCATTTCTCCCGAAGTAACTATTTTAAAATCATCTAGTATTTTTTAGGAATGTTTTTAAAAACAAGAATGAATTCTTTTGTAAGTCTAGTTTCCAAAACATAAAATGTATTTTCAATTATTATATTTACTTTAAATCTTAAGTACATGCATTTATTAGCGTTACATTAAATATATTAACTTTATTTATATTGATATGACATCTACCTTCTTCGAATACAAATAAATACATTTTATGTTATAAAACTAGCTTCATATAGATTTTTCTTGATATATGTGCAATGAATTACTTCTTCGTTTCCTATTTTCAACTTTTTCCTTCTTCATGGAACTGAAGTAGGCACCCTACGGCTCCAAAGTAACCTTCGTGCTCTAAAAATAGAGCTTTCATTGTGCCATTCGACCAGTAATCCATAGCGTATGCGAGCAGTTTCATGGCTATCGGATTCACTCTCAAAAAGTTCCCAATAAACACCACCTATAAATAATTGTACTGAATTAAAATGATGATCTCATAAAATTAAATACATGTATATATTAAAAGTGACAAGAGACAGCCAAAAACGGATGGCACCAATTTTAGCATTTAACAGAAATAGGCTATTGATTATGTCATATAGAAAGAAACAATCACCTTCTTGGGTTTTAATCCCATGAATGCTATTAAATTAGAGGGTGGAAATTGATGAATATTCAAACGAAACAAAATTCAGCTATAGTTAATACTTAATAGAAAATTTTCTGTAGAGAATGCGATTTCATATCGTAAAGGTACCATTTGGGAACGCGCGACAAGCGACTCGAAACCAACACAGAAGTAAGGCAGCAAATATTGCCATATTAAATCTGTTGTCGTCGCCCAGCTAGCAAGGGACGTCGTTTCACGTCATAATCACGTTGAATTTTGGTCAAATACGTCAATATGATTTTTTGACGCAAAAGTAACGTAATAAAAAAACCTATTTGTGTCATTAATGCACTGCAAGTTTTTGTTATTCATTATTAAATAAATATAAGGTAATTCATGCAACATCGTTTTTTAACGGTCATTGTGACACCAAAATAAGACGTACTATGACGTCATTTAGGATCAGTTTGTCACGTTCCGAAATGAAGCGTTAAACTACTCACGCATACATGTCAATTCTATATCTTCGTTGTTTTACATTCTATTTATTAATAAAAGTATCTTTAGTGTTTATATTAATTTATGATTCTCATTTTAAATATAGATATTTTTTGGAATTTTCCTTTTCATATAAAATTGTAATTTGTCCACACTGTTTAGAAATGTCAGATGTCACGCCATTGTCCAAGGTTTGCCGCATTTGCACTTTTTGCAACATTCATAATAACTAACATTTTATCATTTGATTTTGCATGTTTTTTGAAAGTAAGTAGTTAGGAATTTTAGTGCGATTATTAATGTTTATATTTAGTATGTTTATAGGAATTCAATACGCCAACAAGCACGGCAGCGGAGTATCATTATTCCACACAAAGTGGCTGACATCCCGAAAGGAGGAGGTTCTTGTAAACAACAAGAATCTTTTAAGAACAGCTTAAAAAAAACGACTCCTCAGGAGAAAATTTGACTCTTTTTCCTATTCATAGAACATATTTTACCGAAGGTGTGATTTGTTATATTGTAAAGGTGTCTGTAGATAGCCTAATTTTGTTTTAATTATTAACATAGACAATAATATAAACATACATTTAGGGATTTTAAAACAAAACCGTTTATACAGATAATTCAAACATTACCATAAGATTTGACAAATCATTAAAAGTGGGAAAAAGACATTTGGTAGCTGCTTTTAAAATTTTTCTAGTATCTCACAAATATTATTAATAAATAGATGTAAAAAAATACCTTACTTTTTAAACTCACATATGCAATTGTATTGTCGACATTAAGTGGGGGGTAAGGTTAATTCGTGCAAAAAAAGGAACATTTTTGTGAATTGTTTTGACGACACAGTTAAAATCTGTTTATTTAAACTAATGGTACATTAAAGTATATCATTCAAAGAATATTGGGTCAAATTTTCATGTAGAAATATTAAAAAATACGGAAATGGCAGCAATTATTCGGATGCGTCTCAGAAAAAAGTAGAATTGCGGTGCCCCTCCTAACTCGGTCCTGAATGTATAAGTGCATTTTGGGGTCGGAAAATTTTTCTGAGAAGGAAAAACGAATTTTCCATTTGTTATCCCCAAGAGCGACTCGTACATTTTATTTTATTCTACTCAATATCAATGTACTTTTCAATCTTCTTTAAAGCTTGTATGCGAAAATGGGGCACCTAAATCGGTCACTATATGACGGTCTATTATAGTATTTCATATTTTATTTATTTAAAAAAAATTGTGTATAAAATAATTAATCTATTTTAGATAACTACCAAAAAGCTAGCCAAAAAACAACAAAGGTTCTTATAACATTAGATATAATAAGTGATGATGATGTAGAACTTCCTCCTAAAAGAAAACCGAAGCCATTAAAAAGATTGATAAATTCATTATTGATGACGAACCTATTAGTAAATACTGATTTGTCTAGCATAACTTATGTTTTATTATGAGTAAAAGTGATACTTTTGTAACATTTATTTTATTCCAAACAATTTTTTTCTTCAAATGTCAATAATTGTTTTTCACAATTATTAAACATCTTACCAATATATACCTTGTAAAAAAAATATTTCTTCATTCTATTAACCTTCACCTGTCCTCGTGAGGTACGTACATACCCCACGTTCTTTCTCGTCGATTTTCGACATCTAAATCTTCGCAATCGAAACTCGTAACATCTATCGGTAGTCATATCTGGGCCAGTGGGATAGCGCTCTCAAAATAAATACCTTTTTTTAAAGACCCATGAAAACAATTATTATTCTTTTATATTAATGTAACAGAAGAAGACACAATTAATATTTCAGCCCTTTTTACCTAAAAACAAAAACGTAAAATTTTTTTATGAACGCTGATCTTTTTTTTCAACTCTGACTATTCTACAGTCTAAAGTGGGATCTAAAGAGGATCTTTGAATTTTTTTGAGATAAAATAATCAATATTTAAATTTTTACAAAGATTTTTATCACTGGGGTTCGTACGTACCCCACGACTCCAGGTATGTTACTCAGGATGAGCATGTCAGGTGAAGGTTAATTATAAAAAAAGTCAGGTTAACCTGTTTTAAAATTAACAATTAAACATCACTTTAAAAATTAGCATCATAAATTTATTATTAAAATATTAGGTTTTTAACCTATGAAGAAAAACTAAATTTTGTATGTTAGTTAGGAGCCTCTAGTACTCTTTAGTTAGGAGCATTTAGTACTCTACATATTTAAGTTTCTCATTGATTTCTCTTGACAGGTCTGATTTTATTTATCTTATTTGCGAATAATAAAAAGGTGTGAACCATCGAATATACAATTCTTGTGAGAGCTTAATGATATAAACAAAAATTGGATTGTATTGATAGTCGAACAGTACGGATGTGTCGAGTGATCCCTCCTAAAATTTGTGCAAAAAGAGGCCGAAATTAGAGTTTTTTAAAGGCAAGTGATTATAAACATACCTACTATTTCAATAAGATACATTCAAATATTGACTAAGAATCTGCACTTAGATTGTATCTAAAAAAAGGGAAGTCAGTTTATTAGTACGGGTGATTAAACAAAAAAAACAGAGAACAAATAATGTCTGAAAAATCAGCAACCTTAGAGGATATTTTAAGTGAAATAGTTAAAACTAGAGAAGATCTTAATACTCAGATAGTTCAAGTTAGGTCCGATATTAAGAGCAGCTTAGAAGCGAGTGAAGCGCGAATATTATTTAAAACTGAAAACCTAAAAGAGCGTATCAAAGAACTCGAAAAAGAAAATTTAGGATTACGAGATCAAGTGGAGGTACTCGAAAGAAATCAAAAGAAAAATACCATTCTGATATTTGGCTTAAATAAACCCGTGGAAGAGCGATCCATTTGTCTATTCTGTGACGAGATAGGGAATTTGCTTGATATACAAATTTCAGAAGCGGATATAAAAGATTTCTACTCATTAGGAAAATTACCTGAGAGCCCCCTTAAAGCAGAATTATTAACAAACCATAAAAAAAGATTAATTTTACAAAATACGAAAAAACTTAAAAACACCGGATGGATTATCGCGAATGATTTAACTGAATTACAAAGAAACAATATTAAATATCTTCGTGAGCGAATGAACTGTTATAGAGAAACTAATTCAGAAAAGTGCTATATCAGGGGCGAGAAACTTTTTATTGGAAATAAAGGATATTCTGTTGATGAGTTGGAGGATTTCGAAACTACAGCAAATACAACTTCTCATAGTGCGCCAGCGACCCCCACTCCTGAAAACCTTCCTGATGCTAGCGTCACACGAGAATTGGATAAAGTTCAAGAAAACGATTCATATAAAAATCCAAACTTAGCACAAGGACCTGGATCTAAAAATAATAAAAAAATCCAACAATTACCCAAAACGAATCTAAAAGTTTTGTCAAACATTAAAGGGTCACCTACAACCAAAAATACTACATCCAAACCAGTCGATATCAGGGAGAAACTAAGAAACAGAAACGGATCTACCAACAAGTAAATCTTAATTCTTTTAATTATTTTCGCACATACCTTCCGTACTATTAAAATTCTCTTTTAAATTTTATTTCTTACTTGCTATCTTATCGTGTTAATTGTATGTATTTTTAGTATAAGAACATTTTAAAATACTATTATTATTGTATATATTTGAAAGGTAAAATTTTATTGAAATTGTTCTTCTATCGAAATTAATTAAATTTTATATAGGTACCTATACTGTTTTAACCATTTTAAATCTTTTCAATTTTTATTTTCAATTGTAAATAAATTTTTTAATAAAACATTATATTATGGATCCCTTTATGAGGGACTATAACAATACGAAATTTCCAACTACTGTATTACGAACTGCTGAAGACTTTAATAATAAGGATCACAATAGAACGGGTTTTAGCGTTTTACATCAAAATATAAGAAGTTTAAATTGTAATATGGATCATTTTGAAGCATACCTACAATTATTTAAACAATCTTTCGATATTTTGATTTTAACTGAAACTTGGAACAAATTTGATATAAACTTGTATGCTAAAGAAGGTTACAATATGATTTACAATAATGCTGATTTTAATAAATCGGATGGCACTATTGTCTATTTAAAAGAATCTATTATGTACAATTTTGAAATAAAACAAATTGATCAGAGTACGGTAATAGTTATTGAAGTTATCAATGATAAGTATAAAATGCTACTCTTATGCATTTATAGATCTCCATCCACAAATGAAGAAAATTTTGTTAGGGAACTGTACGACTTTTTAGAAACATCAAACGATAATTACGACTTAAATATCATTATAGGCGATATAAACATTAATATTTTTTCACAAGACAGAGTAACAACGGAA